GAAGGTCAAACATCATACATTTAATTGACAATAAATGCACAAAATATGATACATTAACAATATACATTAATAATGTAGCCCGACCTCATGAAGTGGGCTTTACAAATGGTATGTTTCGTCAAAAAACTAAATAATAAATCCCTGCTGCACTATCACTTACTCAACTGTTATGTAGGTCCAATTTAAAAGATTTATATTTTTCCCCTTGTTTTATTTTCTTAGACCATTTCACCCTTTTTCCGGTTCTATTTTCTCTGTCCCTCTCTCGCTTGATGACCCAGGTCAAGCCATTCATCATCATTCATTTCCATAACACCATATTCCATATGTCATTTATAAATTCCATTGATTGGGGCAGCATGAAGTTGCCATTAACAACATCGCCGGAAAATGTTGCTTTGTTACATTGATCACCATTTAAACATTGAAATATACTTATGTCAACTCCTGCACAGTGCCATAACAAAGCCTTTGATTTACATCCTTCAGTGTTGCATGTGTAATCATTACGTAACAAATATGATCCTCAACACAAACAAATCTACCTTCCCTTATCCTGTTAGCCTATATGTAACTTAGTTCATTTATATAGGAATAAATAAAAAATGCAAGGCTTTTATAAATACGTGTTAGCAGGATTATGCAACCAAAAGCGATATAAAGAGTAAAATAGTTCCCAAAAATGCAGATTATTCTCTAGAAATGGAAGGTTAAGATTCCTTCAATGATTCAATGACATAGCAACATCATTATATACCATATGTAGTGTGTCATCCCAGGTTCCATGCATTTAAATTAATATTATATGTAAATGTTGTGCAAGTGAACCCTGGTCGGTCTGCAGCAGTACCTGCAGTGTCATCGAGCCGGCAGCCAGAGTGACGCCGCGCTGAGCCGCTTCCCTTCAGGCTACAGACTGCTGCTGCTGCCGGGAGGAGAGCCGGACAGCCGTTTACACAAATTAGCAATCCAAAAAGGCACATGGCGCCACCGAGACGAAACACACACACACACACACACACACACACACACACACACACACACACACACACACACACACACACACACACACACACACACACACACACACACACACACAGAGCGAGCGAGCACTAGACACGATTTTCATTTTAAAATCGGCATGCAAAACACACGTGCCCGATCAGGTCAATGGTTAAAAAGTCAATACTCTTTATAGCTTTAATGCATGTTTATATATAGATTAGCTTTGATACATTTTTGAGAGTTTCAATTTGAGTTGTGTTATATCAAACGATACGACGAACAAATTATAACTTAAAGAATTTAAATAATCTTAAAATGAATATGATATCATCAGGGAAGAAATAAAGCATAGCAGGCCTTGGTTGTGTGCAATAGACAACAGGATGAGGATACCGCTTTAGGGAACATAGGCCTACTCACTGCAATTACCGTAATTATCTGCAATTACACAGAGGCGCCAGTCCACGACTACAGCTTTTATCTTTACTGAGAGTTGCATAACAAGGGAGGAAGTCAGCAGAAATACACGTTTTATTCTCCCAGAGTTAACCAGTTTCTGTGATACTGGGTGCAATTATTTTTCATATAGGCATGGGAGCCCCTATGGCAAAATATGCGGTTGTCTATGACTGTGCCTCCTAATATAAATGAATTAAAATATACAATTAGGAGATTTATTTCACAATGTTTGGAGTTCATTTAGTTTAATAGGATCAGAAAGGCCCTTTTTTAGTAGATTGTTCAGCCTCTTTAATGCTGCAATAACTTGTGTTGGATAGTTAAACATCACCATCTGTTGGTCATAACTGGTATGAGGCTTTTATTTTTAAAATATGGCCTCATCACAGGCACTTAAGACATTGTAGTATTGCCCATATTAAAAGTGTCCTGATTTAGAATATAAAAAGGAATGTTCAAACTCTGTGAAGCAGGGACAAAGTCATCCTGACTTATGTTTGACCTTCCCTGCTTGGTAAATCCACTCATCTCTAACAAACACCTTCGTTTTTTTAATCCAGGCTTTACCGAAATATATTTTCCGATAAATAACTTGCATGACATCACTACTATGACATCATAAGGGCTGTTTTCATAGACCTGTGAACGCTCCCTCTAAAGACACAGAGGTCATCATGCAACTGTTTTCACAAGCTCAGAGCTCTTTGTGACAGGTAAAACCAACGTGTTGTACCATTCTTTTATGTGACTAAATTAAGAATACATATGAAATCTTAATGAAAACCTAGCCTTGTTTTGTCAAGACTTCCAACTTCCAGACTGGGAAACGCTGTTTAAGAAAACAAAACTGTGTGTCTTTACATGCTGAGAGGATGAGCGTCGACAAGCCTTCATCATGAGGGGGTTTCATGTAAGTGGCCTTTTAGGGAGATTACACCCCACAGGCTGTCTGCTTTCACACATTAGGAGACACTGTAGGTGTGACCTGCTACAGAATGTATGGGCTTTGCTTAACAAAAGCCCCCCTACTGCTAGGCCAACGATGGCTGGGTTGCTGCTGAGTTAACGGGGGTGTGGAGGTCAAGTCTACCATAGTAGATGACTCAAAAACTGGATTTAAACTTGAAATAGAAGTCTCTAAAACCACTTTTCTCATGAGTCCTAACCCGACAAAATGACCTGCTCTAAATATTCCCACTTTGAAGATCAAAACTCCCTCTATGATCCACGAGGACACACACCCAGGTAGACACACTTCCTCCGACACCTCCTGGCTTCCTCCTCTCTCTTTGATGTGAGCCATATCAAGGTTTCTGAAGAATCAGAGACAGGCAGACTGTCTCCATCCTTCATGATCCATTTTATTCTCCTCCAGATAATGGAGCGCAGCATCAGAGTCAGAGGTCCAGCAGCAGTTATGTGGATCCATACTGGAGATGTGCCGGGAGCAGCTTTGATGTTACAGATTGGGTTACAGGCTCAGCATTCACATGCACTCATGCTGACTTTATCTAGAGTGCTCGCATGCAGGAAACTGACAGCGTCCACCTTTGTTTTTATGTTGGGAATTAATTCAGTAGCACTCTGTCCTCTTATCCACATTCAGAGATGACTGTGTAGATAAACTGCGTTTGAGCACGAAGAGTGATGCCTCCTTAGTGCATGACAATATGGGGGATTATGAAGAAATAATACAGTTCTGCAGGAAGTAGAAGCAGTTTTTGATACTTTGAGAACACATGAAAACTACTGATTAGAAAAGGTAAAATTGTTATGACCGATGTGTGTACAGTGCAAACCCAAACAACACGGTTAAATGTCTGTTGTTCTACTGATGCAGAGAGCAAAAAAGGGGAACAATAAGAAAATATCTCTACTTCTACTACTCTCCCTACATATATCAGGTGTTTCATTCAACATAATCAAAACAGCCACATATAAAATGTAGTCATAGTAAAATGAAGTATCTCAATACAAGAGGTCAAGATTAATGTAAGGTGGTTTTACTTTTTATACAAACAAATACATTAGAAAAAGTGGCAAAAAACCCTCTTATATTCACATGTAAGTACCTTTTTCCAAACTTCTCCTCATCCATTTAAAGCCCATGCATGGAGCTGAAAATATGGAATATTGTATTTCCTTAAAACATTGTTTTGTGGTCTACAGACAAAAGATCTGACCATGGAGGGGACCTTGTGTAAGATTTTCTTGATGGAACCTATTATTGGAGAGACACCGCCCTCTGTAGGAACTTCATGGTATAACATTTGTATGTGCAACAGTTATTCTCAAGTCTATCCACACAGCATTGAGTAAGATTTTGAATTGATTCATTTGAATTGAATAAATAAGCTATATTACTTTAAATAAATATTTTTGTTGGCTAGTGTGTCTTCACAGTTATATTAAACTTTAATATTAAAATATGACATTTATACAAGAAAGAATCATCAATTCACTGGATCAGTACTTTCCCCATTGTCTAGCTCTGACATCAAACCATGACATATTAAATAATCATGTAAAAAAAGGTTTGAGTTAATATGGTGTAATGGGAAATGTATACATAAATAATACATAATGATGTATGTTAATAATATCCTCAGTCCAAAAGTCAGGTTCACTGCTTATTACTTGTGTTTCAAATTAAACATTTATTAAGTATGGATAAATGCATTGATTTTTGCAGATTTAAACCAAAGTAATCTTACTACTATTGAGTGTTGTCGTAGAGTTTGCTATCGCTGTTGTCTGAATTAGAATGTAAATTAAATCCGATGTGTTACAAATAACCAGCCTACTTTTCTTCAACATCAAGAAGCCTTTAGTAAAGCTACTTAAGTCCACCTGTAGATATTCTGAGGCTAGAGGAGTCATGTCCACTACGTTGGCATGTTATTTAAATAACACTGAAACACCAGCAGAGGGCAGTAGAGTCTAAAGGTTAAATTGTTCATGTAAATTATAGCAAATGGTTCGTTTTCCCTTAAGTTTCCCTTTTTTAATTTAATATTTTACTTAATCCTTAGAGTAGTAGTTACTTAGGTCACCTTTAAACAAACAGTGTGTCATCTTTGACTATGCCTACTTCAAACGATCCACAACACATAAGTGTCAAAGAGCCAAAGACAATAAATTGAAGCTACAGGTACCATCAAAAACCCAAGAACAACATGGCCCCAGAGAGGCATATTTTATTTCATTTGTCAATATATTTCAGGAAACAATATACAAAGCAATGACGTGGTCACAGTTACTGAATGTGTTGCAGTTCAGTTATAGACCCAATAGATAGTATGGTGGAAATGAAACAGCTGAGAACCCTGCTCTTCAACAGTGGGGAACAAACAAGAGCGGGATGGGACGTGCTAGAAAAAAACCAACCGTGTGCATGACATGCTTGTTGAAGATCTGTTCCTGTTGGGTGAAATAAAGTGTGGGTGTTGCAGGTAAACGAGGCTGTGACACTTAAGACTTTCAACAAGGCACTAGCGTAAGAACCAAACCTAAAACTCCAATAAAATAACCAGTGCTCGCTTTAGTTGAACATCTTTATTACAATACATACATTTCACATTTGACCGTGTGCCCTCTTGCTGCCCTGCTCTGACACAAGAGGTGATCCACATACATCCGCCTTGAACCCCACACTGCTGGAGGACCACTCCTTATATGGGTGCAAATCAAAGTGTGTGGATATCGTTGTTATTTATAAATAAAACCTCTGCTGGTTAGCGACTGTACAAAGGAATGAACCAGTGGTACCCGCCTCTTCGTAGAATATGAGATGGGGGGGGGGGGGGGGAATGGTCCAAGAGCAGCACGCCGTCACATCTCAATTTAAATCACTCATTCCACCACACCACCAGGCACTGTTTTTTTAATTCTCAGATTGGGACATGCAGAGCCACCAGAAGCTGCGATGAGATCAGTGAACCGTTTTTCAGCAAAGACCAAAGAGAGGGGACGTCCATGGCGCCTGAGTACAGCTTATATTTCACAGGAAGAGAATTTAGAGATATTTAAACGACATTGACACCAGTGCTAGACTTGTGTGTATATTAATGGCTTCCTCCTCCACATGCTTAATGGTTCAATGATCTATGACCAAATGAAGCTTTTTAAAGTCTGCGTTAAAATGAAGGAGAGACTAGCTAATGAATGTAGCCGCCTAGCCGTTGATTAGTTTCGATGTCAAAAGCTTTAATAGGCATGGCTTTCCATGGCATTCAATCTACAAAACGTATGTACAACATAGATAATCACATCTACAAGAAATCTACATTTCCCCCCCTGCCGTGGGCTTGTTTTATTTTTTACAGAATCGAGTCTTGTAAAGCAGCCCCCCCCTCCGACAGCTCGTCAGGTTTCACTCTTGGTTCTCCAGCCCGACGGTCCAAACTGCAGCTCCTGTGTTTAAGACTGGGCTCCAGAGGAAGTGACCGGCTGCTCGCCCTCCAGCTTCCAACTATGTGCAATGGGTCTTCCCCCTTTTTCTCCCACAACCCCCCTGCTTCAACTGCAGAAGTCTTCAGACCATGAAAGAATTCTGATTCTTCAACTTTTCTAGTTCTTTGATTTGCTGTCTCAGAAACAGTATCCTGTGGGGAAAGACGGAGAGGACAGTGATTATTTGTTCTACCATAAATGCCAACAGGTGCTTTCTTAGAGAATACAAATTCCTCCTCACCTCTGCTCACGCAATGTCGCTTGTATTTCACAGACTCTGACCAAGGAGCGCAGGTTTTTGAGCTCGGTGCAGTTCTCCGACATGCAGATGCTCCCCATGGTGTGCGCCTCTTCACGTAGTCTCGATGCCTTTAAGGGTCATACAGGAACATTAGTTTAATAAATGGGTGTTGCTGCTAAAAAGATAACAAGTTGGACAGTTAAGAGGTACAGACCTGTTTCTCCGCGTGCTCGGCAGGCCAGCCCTGCACGTGCTTGATAAGATTCTCGTTGAAATGAGCGGCGAGGGAGGGGGTGAAGGAGGTCCGGGCTGCTGAGGCGGAGGGGGGAGCGGAGGCAGAGTTGGGGGCGTGGCTGCTGGAGGAGGAGGAGACGTGGTTGGGACCCGGGGAGGGGCTCCTATGACTGCTGCAACAAACACGGGTTGAAGGAGCATGTCAGTGTTGAGACATAATGTCTAAGGAGAAATGGACCTTTCACAAAAAGGACCAATCAAATTGTTCTCAGCAGCAATATTAAAAACACAACTTCCCTCGAGTCTCAATATAGCTGATCACCAAATATAGGTCTTAGCTAACAACAACAACTTCAGGAAGATTACTATTTGATCACGGCTCTTAACCTGTTAAGCCCCGAGCCTGTTTTTCAGGCCTCAGGCTCGAAAATGACATGCCCAGAACAAATGACTATATCTTCACTTCTTCAGAATCAATATAGATGTTTTTATTTTAAAGTAAATTCAGATTGAACATAGTAAAAAAAAATGTAGATTATAGTTCCCGTCTAAAAAAAAAAAACATTACTTATAGTGAAAACCACCCTTGAATGATGGGATAGTAGACTAAAAGCTTTAGGAATCTAAACTATAACATATAATAAGTCCCCTGTATCAAGAGTGATGCAAAACAAACCTTTTTAGAGAGCTTTAGAAAAAGTAGGTCCAGGCGGACTCACCTCTGCCGTATTTGCCGTATCTCTGGAACCCATTGGTCGATTTGGGTGATTGACACCACTTTGTAACCGTTAGAGCCAATAGAATCGAGGGGAAGTTCCTAAATCCATCTAAACATTACCATTGGTGAGTTAGAATGATGCGCTCGCAGCATGCCCCAAACCGGAAGCTCCGTTACACTCTATATGAAAAATACGTTTATGGCCATAAATGGACACAGAGCCATTGGATTAACCTTCAGCAGCGTTTTAATGCCCTTGAACACAACTTGTGATCGGAAAACAGCAAAGGTAAGACGTATTTGCCGTTTTGGCCCCGTAAAGTGAAGTTGAATGTTGTCTTTGCTGACTGCTAGTTCGGTGAGGTCGCACAGTGATGATACTTATACCAATGGAATCTGTGGAATCTCAGCTTTCATATGATATCTAGTGCAGATAGCATGAGGTATAAAGTATCGCTACCGTGAGTTATGTGCTAAAAGTGTGTTAGTATTTCTTCGCTTAGTGCTGATTCAGACCGTTGGTGTTAGACTTGTGTTTTGTTTAGGTAAAAATTGTTAATATCGTCTGATAGCTGAGTTTCTTCCCGTTAAGTGGGTATGACATATTAATAGGTTGTTAAATGTTAAGAAGCCCTGAGACACAGTTTCGTGCAATATTGTTGCGGGGGCAATCGGGCTTAACAGGTTTTTGATGCAGCAGCTCGGCTTCATTCGTTTCATGTGAACATTTACTAGAGTTTCAGATGAGAAAAAGGAATTTAGATGGTAGAAAACCAGGAGTGTGCTACGCGTTGGAAAGACAAACAAACAACATAATACAAAATGAAAAGTAGTAACTTAGACCTTGTATTTACTTGCTAGAACACATAGCAAGATTTGGGTCTATCTCAGTTCCTCACTGGTGAAACTTCCGAGCAAATGACTGAATTTGAAACAAGAAGGAACACTAAGGCTGATCAAATATTTTTACAAACAGCTGTGTCTTCACCTGCCAACAATATATTCACAGAGGAACAGAAGCATTAGGGAGCTTCCTCCCCTTTTTGGAAATCGTTTCACAAAGCAATGAATGACTTCAATGAGAGACTTCTGAATGAAGCAGCTACATTGTTCCATCAATGAACAGCAGGTGGTGCCACAACATTACACAACGAGGATAATCTAAAGGCAGGAAAACCATTTTTTATGTGGTGGTCCAAACTTTGATATGAATGGGTTCTCCAAAACATTGGGAGATGAGGTATTTCCACTTCTTTCTTGGCCAAATGTGAGTATATGGACTTAGCAACAGCTGCCACCCCAGGAGCCTGGTATAATAATGACAAAAGTTAAGCAAACGGCTCTAGAATTCCCTTCTCATGCTACTTATTCTTCTGAACCTAGTGCTCTTGCACGTACCCCTGGCGCTGCAGGTTGCGGGGGGAGGCCGTGGAGACATCGTGACTGTGCTGCTTCTCGCTGGAGAGGGTCTGTTGGGAGGAGGGCTGGGGATGAGAGGACTGCTTCCCTGATGTCGTACTCGCCTAAACACAAGTTAGAAACAACACATCAATCCAGATCCTCTCCAAAATACACAGTATACATATACATGTATACTTCAAAGTGTAGTTTGATATATCTCTATAAAAACGTCTTAAATTTCAACCAGCTGGCCTATCTCCCCACTGTATTTAAACACACTGAATGTTTGTGTCTTACTTTTGAATGTGAGATGGCGGGCTGCGTGTTGTGGAGGGGTTTGTTGTGACCGGCGTTGCTCTGTGGCGTGCTGATCCTCGGAGAAACATAAGACCTGGGCGATGAGGCGTCCGATGTTAACGACATGGGGGACTGGTTCGATTGCTGAGCTGCTGGACGTACGCAGAGAAAAAGCAAAACAGCATAAGGGTTTCAGTCAATCTTCTCGAATTACAGCCGGCAAGAAAACCACTATGAGGAGGTACATGATCGGGGAAATCTTAAAGACAATCATGCAAGTCAGGTTCGCTGATGCCATTATCAAAACTTTAAGTTTATCAGCAGTAATTATTGGAATAGACAAGCTTCTGTGTGAGTTGTGCTTACCTTGGTTGGAGAGCTGAGCAGCTTGAGAGAGGATAGTAGTGATATTGAAAGCTGATGGTCCAGCAGTGAGGATCTTATGGAGCATCGACTGTAGTGAAGCCTGTGTGACAGCAGCTGTGAGAACTGGAGAGGTAAAGAGACACACTGTTAGTCCCTGCACTGATTTATAAAGTCCTGCTACACAGTCAAATACAGTAATGTGTCCAAATGGAACATGCACTAGGTCCACAGTGCTGAAAAGGATTGATCAGCCAGCGATTGTTATTGGTCGATATTCTGTATTGTGGAAGGGTAAATTAGGTTATGTGTTCAAATGTAATCTTGTAAAAAGTATTTGTTGAGAAACTTGAATAAACAACGAATGGCTCACCAACAATTGAAGTCCAATAATGATCTAGGCATTTTCTAGGTATGAATAGGTTTTGTTTATTATTATTATGCAAGGACTTTATTCTGACTGGACAGGAAGAATAGAAATGAGCAACTTCGGCAAAAACAAACCCTGTTCTATTCATACATTTAATTAAGCGGGCGCATGTAAGAACCTGGAACAGGAACACGAGGAGAAGAAGCAATAAATAAACGGCAATTAACAAAAGCTTAGTCAAAGAACAAAATGAGTCTGAGTCCTTTCAGACAACCAACTTCTGAGAAGCGTATGATGGCGTCATCTTCGCTGATGGGATGAGCGTACAAAAACCACCGAGGAAAAAAACACAGCCAGTCCGGATGCATGATGTGCCCCCTACAATGTCAGCCAAGGTTTTCTCTCAGTTTTGGCACAACATGGACTCTAAGAATAGTCATTCATAGTGTACTCAACTAAAGTGCTTGTGGGATGATCAATGGGTATCTTAAATCCAACTGGGATAGAGGGGACTGCTTCCGACCCTAATTTACTACAGTAGACTAAAAAAGTAAAGTGGGAATACTATTTT